GATTCTATATTCTGTTGTATTCCCCACACCCTGTAAAGTTACTGGTTCACTGCTTTCACATCACAGACTTAAAGTCTTGAGGGTCACCTCAGTGCTTCAAAGGAAATATTTAGATTCACTTGAGAATGGATTTTTTTTTTCCATGAAAGTCTAAAAATAAGATAGAAACTTTAAATAATTTTTCAGTCAAAACACATCTTGTTTTCATAATCTTCTCCGTTTCTAGCCAGAGCACCTCATCCACTGTTTCAGGATTTTCAGAGATTCCTAGCGAATAGAAAATGTCAGGTTCTAGGAACAAAGATGGTCTAAGTCGTTGTAACAGACCTTCATTTTGCTTTTTCTCTTCTAAGTATATGAGATAATAATACATGTGAGATACCTCCTCTTTCTCTTTCCTCCCTCTGTAAGTAGGTTTTTTGTTTACCACATTTCAAGAAAAAATCACTAGGAATAGTAAATCCCCCAAATTCGCATTTTCAGTTTATTTTGCTAAGCATGGGAAGCCAACTTTGGAAACAATTGTACCTAAACTGCTGGGAAAAGGAGGAGTTGTCATCCCAGTATTCAAAGCAACAAAGAAAGGCACTTGAGAACCTCTTAAAAGCCAGATTCTCTTTTGAAAGTTTCAAAATCTATAGATATGAAACTGTAGGCCCTTTAATTGAATACTCTGGCAGAAACCCAAAGGAATCAGCATATGTAGACTCCCTTGGCTCACACCAGCTCCCAGTAAGCCTCAGAATCTTAATTTTGTCAGGAAACCTTTGTTCTAGCTGCTGTTAAACCATGGCTGACATTTGTTGCCGTTCTGTCAAATATTTTATGCCAGAGTGTAAAACGTGACATCAGTGAGAGGAACAGGTGTAGCTGGATGAGGAAAAGGTAAATTTAGAGCTAAATTATTTAAATGAATGAAGTTTTCTGAGCCAAAATTAAGCAAATTGTCAAATACTAGTACTGACAAGTAACAAAAATGGTCCAAAATACAAGTGCTTATAAAAATTTTGGAACTTTACTGATCTAAAGCTTCCCTTCCTCTGCAAAGGATTTAATAATCTGCAAGAAATTATGCTTTTTTTTTTTTTTTAATTAGGGAAGTTCAAGTTTAAAAAATATTCCTTATAAGCTATTCTTTTTTATTGTATGGGATACTTATTTCAACAAGGAAAAACTCCACTATTGAGTGCCCTAGTCTCTGTAGCTTACCTGCATTTATTTCCATCTCCCTGAGAAGTTTACTTACATCTCTTTTCCTTAAAAGAACATTTGAAAAGGTAGTAAAATAAGAATCTGTCTATGGTAACCTACTTATATTGATGGTGAATAGTGTTTGTTTTTATCTTGGCACAATTGTAATACCTAAAATAGTTTTTGCCCAGAAGAAAGTGCAAATATTCTATTTTAACATCTTAGATAAGCATTTCTCTCTTAGACTGCTCTATCATTCAGGTTTCTGTGGATATAAAAAAAGGAAATGATAATATGTGAACAATGGCAAAATTCTGTATCTCAATCCTTTTAGTCATGATACAAATCACATACCTACTGTGTCTGTCTAAAGAGACCCAGGGCAAATTTACTATATTGCCAGACATATTATTAAAAGAATCAGTAATTACCTTTAGCCTGATGCAATTGTTCATTTGTTACTCACCTGCAATCTATATCTTTATCTCTGTAAATAAAGATATGAATCTTAGATACTTCAAACCATAAGTAAAGCACAAGAGAGTCTAACATTCTCTGATAATTTTATAAAGATAAGTTTTTTCTGTTGACTCTTAGAAATTAAAAAATGCGCATACACCGTTTAAGTACATGATTAAATATTATTTTTATATTTGGTATAATCTCTAAAAATTTTTGTATTCTGAGTATCATATATAAAAACTTATATGTCTCTTTAAATACAAAAGTTTCTCCATTTAAGTGTGGAAAACAACGAGCAAAATCAGGAGAAAATAAATAATGATTGTTCATTGAAAAATACTAGCTCACAAAAGTTTATAAGTAAAATAAAATTTCAATTAAGGAAAAATTAGGAAATTAATTTTTTAGAAAAGCAAACAACAAAATACACTGTAACAATGTTTTTATCAATTATGTATTAGCTTAGAAAGTAATGAGATATTGATTGAAAATTAGAATTATATATTTGCTATGAATATAGAATAGCACTGTTCTATGAACACAAATACAAACCAACCTCCTTTCTCCAACTACTATTTTTAGTATCTGTTATGCTATTTTTTTTTTTTTTGTATCCAGGTACTTGTATTATGGATTTTGGTATGCCTTAGACATATCAGTTTGGTGTCAAATAAATATGTGGTGAACATATGTCATTTGCAGTTAGACTCTTGGCATTCATTTAAAAAGAGAGACAGAAAGGTCTAAAACTTGTTTATAAGTTACTACCAGCTAGATAGTTACAACCACATAGGCAGTGCTACTCTTCATCCTCTAGTCCCTTTCTTTTCATTCCTCAGTGAGATGAGAGATTGTTCCTTGGGCATTCTGATGATCTGCTATGTAACAAGTGAAACAGCATCATAAAGCTCACTCTTCAGTTATTTCTGCAACTCTAGCTGTCTCTGGAAATTACTTCTCTGAGAAAAGAGCGGATTGATCAACACCCCACCCCAAGAGCCATTTCTGTAATGAAAAACTCAGAATTCTAGTGATAAATAGAATTTTTGGTACAATTCTACTTTACAAACTATTTTTAAAGTGAGTTTGAGTTCTGTTTCAAACAAAAAGTCTATTGTGGTAATATGTGAGATTTCAAAATATAATGTTTTTCTTTAATGCATTTCTAATGGTGATAATTATATT